CCAGGGGGGAGTAGAAATATGCCTAGTAGTCGCTTCATACTACAGTAATCGGGTTATTCGGGTTAAGCTCCGGCCTGATGGGCCACTTGGTTCGTATGTACACTTTACCCTATTTTACCTTTTTCAATTCATAACCATGCTTCACGTCTAACTGATTTTTCCATAACGTTGGAAAAAACCTGCTGTTAGAAAACTGTATCATCTGTCTTTCGTCGTTTAAAACTACCATACGATATGTATCTATCCCTAGATAGAGGAGCATGCATTTAATTGCTTGCTTCTAAATATTTTTGAACGTCAATGTTATGTACTATTTTGCTCATGCAGTCGAAAATTAAACTAGCGATTATCCAACTCTTTAAAACGATATTCTGAGAGTTCATCAGTAAAAAGAACCGTACAACTGAAAGCACTAATTATCACAATCGGTCCTCTAATCTATAGATTTCAAGGTGGATTGCAAAACAATATTTTTCAATATCGTAAATTAAAAATAAAACTGTTAACTTGAGATATACCAGTACAACATTCTTAGGATTGTCATCTTTAAAGGTGTCCTGACCCCAGTTGTTCAAAGGCTGGATAACGCTATCCACCGGATAAATCGCTATCCAGTGGATAAGTGTTAACAAAACAAACTATGCTATCCGTTGGATGGTGATTTATCCGGTGGATAGCGTTATACACCTTTCCAACAACCTGGGCCTGATCTTTAACCGACGGTGTTGTATGACTGATGTTATCTTGTTGCAGAGTATTTTTCGTTTTAAGACCTTGCTTTATTTTTAAAAGAGACTAAACGCATGCCTGGTGGATCTTCAATATTGCAGATTGTGACTCTCCGATGGGAATGGAAAATAATCAAATCCCAAACTCCGCATTATCAGCTGCCTCAGTGGTATGTACCAAGTATATATACAAAGATAAAACGGCAACCTCCACAGTACTCCATGACAGGAACAAGAACGAGCACAACAACGACGACAGCTTTGTAATTTTTGATCAACAAGTAGTGTACACAAGAAACTGAATTGCAAACATAATTGGGAGTAACTTACTCGGAATAACTTATAATTAGCAGATTAACTTTTATTTATGCAAGAAAACTAAAGAAAGAAATAAAAAAAAGAAAAAAAGGGATGCAAAGAGTCGATTCAACTCATTTATTTGTTTCATTACTTGCTTTTGTCAGTATGCCAATAGCCCATCTTATGCAGCCAGTCAAGGAAGGCTTAACAAACCCACTTCGTACATTGCCGCAGCCAACAACAAGGGGCAGTGGGTTGAGGTGGACTTTGGACATGGAAAGGTGGCTAAAGTGACCAAAATCGGAACTCAGGGCCGCTATCATGTATCACAGTGGGTGACCGAGTACATGGTGTCGTACAGCATAGATGGGGGATATTTTCAGTTTCAGCTACTCAAGCATTACAATGAACCACGGGTAAGAACTTATTTATGCATTAATAAAACCTAAATTTTAATGTGATAACCATGGACCCGCTGTAGTCATCATTGCAGACATAGTAAAGCAGTTCACTTCCGGTCAAAGGACATTTTCCAGCACTTGACTTTCTCAAGACAGTTTTGTTTGTAATATATAAAAATTATTTACAAAGCACATGAAGATGTCTGTTGCTTATAAATCAAAAGTCTGCCTTAAATTAAATTTTCATTCTTCTTTAATTTGTATTTTCAAGTTATCCATCAAGTGTGAACAGTTGGGATGTATCTCGAGTTCTCAAGTCGAATGATCTTAGTCTAAAAATTCATGTGGGCAGTATAACCTCATAATCGTACCAGCAGCCTTAGGAAACGACAGTTAATGCGTCTCTTTCACTATATACCTCTTCCACTCCTTAACAAACTGGAAAGGCTTGATAAGATTATTATAATTTATTCTGTTGATATCAGAATAAATTAAATAATTTCTCAAAGCTTACTTTTGGCAAAAAAATTATATATCAATAAATAAGCAAGTAAATAAAATAATAATAATAATAATAATAAAATAAACTCTTACTAACCGAGCGTGAGGACCGTACCGGAAAATATTGGCCGAGGTCGTGGCAGTACGGACCGACCATAGCGACCGAGGGACAATATTCTGTAGTACGGTTATCGCAAGCTAGTCAGTAAGTAGTGTATTATATGGCACGGGGCCTTGAGTTTATTTATTTTTCGAAGGCAAAAAATACACAACTTATGACCGTTTCCGTGGAAACGGTCCGCATGGCAAAATCCCGACCAAGAAAGAACCAATCTGATCTCTCGGAATTACACCTTGTAACATATTGCTATTTGATGTCTGCTGTTGTCTATTCCAGTAAGATGGCAGTAAATAAACTTTTGCATTTTCAGAAATATGTCGCTAACAAGGACTACACCCATGAAGTAATCAATACCTTGGAGGAGCCAATTATTGCTCGCATTATTCGAATTCATCCAGTTGCGTGGTACAGTCATATCTCCATGAGGTTTGAATTGTATGGATGCTATTCAGGTGAGCTGGATGAGGACATGCATTTACTTGAATACATTTTTTTTGTAAATGTAAAATTTTTCAGTCATTCTTGTATATATTGTGTAATGACATATGCTGGTTGGATTCAGTTGTTTGTTGTTTACTTCCTAACTGCTTATTAGAATGGTATACTATCGTACTTACAAGATACACTTGATGGGAGGAATTGCCGTCAAGTAAATGGAAAAGAAAATTGTGTTCTTGTTCGGTTAAATTTGCTGCAAAATTACGTTTGTTAAAATGGCAGGTTTGTGATAATGCTGTCCACAAAGCCTCTATTTTGTCGAGTTCGCCTACTGTCACAAGCAAATTGTTAACCATGAGGGTCAGAACGAGCAAAACTCAAGGGGGTGGGGAGCTGGGGTAACAAAATGAAAAAAGTAAAAACATCTGTGGATAGGCTAGTTTGTTATCAACGGCGAAATGGATATATATGGGACAGAACATAATGTTTGTCGGTGTTGTTTGTTGTCGAAAGCTAATCAAGCCTAGTGGCTCTCCAACCGTCATAAAATTAATAGTTTTAATAATTTACTCTTAAGTTACATTTAAAAGTTATTCTCAATTTTTTTTGTTTTGGCTTTTAAAGGTTTTTCAACTCCTAAGCCTCCCACTTGCATGGCTGGTCTGGGAATGGAAAATGACAAAATTCCTGATTCTGCGATAACGGCATCTAGCGTGTATGGCAGCTACCGAGCTGATCAGGGTCGGCTTTACAATCAGGGCGGCTCTCGCGGCTCTGGAAGCTGGCTAGCGGGTACAAACAACTATAACCAATGGTTTCAAGTTGCGCTTGGAGACTGGACCAAAGTCACAAGGGTATGCACCCAGGGGAGACTAAACGGAGGTAACTGGGTTACAAAGTACAAGCTCGCTTACGGTTACGATGGTGTGTTTTACAAGGAATATAAAGAAGAAGGAGAGGACGCCAAGGTACGTGTTTATTGTATTGAGTTAACAGTTTCAGAGAGAAAACTTCCTCACAAGAGGGAATAAACTTTCTATGTTCTTGATGACCATCTAGTCCCTACAATCTGTTATTTACGCTTGCTGACTGATAAGAGGACATTGTAGGACGTCATCGCGCCATGGCAGGTGTGAGTGAGCTTAGAGAGTTAATAATTTTAAAATAACTAGGACTCGAAGATCTGGAGAAAAAAAAACATACAGACCGACAGCTATATGTTGATACTTCGAAAAGGAAAGGTAGGTTCGGATTTGGAGTGCACATGTAGACTGAAAAGAACAATGCTCTCGTGAGTTTTGATTGCGGATTAATCCTGTATATCACTAGTTTGGCTGTACATCGAGCCTCTTTATCATAAAGTCTGTTGCTTTCTTTTCCTGTATGAGAAATCAAGTTCTGGATTGTTTATTTCAAGTCCGGTCCTCTCAAATCATTTCTTTCTTTGCTTTAAATAACTCAAAACAAATCAGTTCACTTCATAAACTTCGAACGCGGAATAAAACAATAGCAATCGATCTCGTGGTATTATGACCACCTTGCTAGTCGTATACATATCGTTACTTGTCATATAAAATACTACCAATCAGAATACTGGAAAACCGATGTATATTCCACGGCATTACATCCAACCGTCCCATCATGCACCGCG